TCATGTGTACATATCTCATATCTCATTTGTACATATCTCATATATCTCATTTGTACATATCTCATGTATGTCATGTGTACATATCTCATATATCTCATTTGTACATATCTCATATATCTCATTTGTACATATCTCATATATCTCATTTGCTGCATTCCGATGTTTTCCCGTCTGAATTCCAACATAACTAAGGTCCTCAATTCTTAACTTTTCAATAAATGAGTTTGTAAATAGTGCGCAGGTATTTAGAAATTTGGCCATTTAGTTAAAGAGGTATTGGATCTTTTCATTGATCTACCCTAAATTTTTAAAATGCATCTTTCACCCCATTTCGTTTGCTGCATTCCGATGTTTTCTAACATAAGTAAAGCTCCAAAAATATAAATTGTAAAGGAAATTAATTCCTCAATAGTCCACGCTTCTAGTCGTGCAGGTATTTAGATATGTGGTCATTTAGCTAGAGACGTATTGAGTCTTTGTTCTCCTCTACCCCTCAAAAGTACCTATCTTACCCCATCGCAGTTGCAGTATCCCGATCTTTTCCCCTCTCAAATCTGATATGACAAAGCTTGAACAGTCTAAATTTGTAAAGAAATCTGTTTGTAAATAGTCCACGCTTCAAATCATGCTGGTATTTAGATGTTTGGTCATTTAGTTTGAGAGTTATTGAGTCTTTTCATTGCTCTACCCTTCACTTTCAAAATATTTCACCTTCTCACATTTGCAGCATTTGCAGAACTTTTCCCCTCTAAATTGTGACATAACTAAGGCTCCAACAGTCTAAATTTTCGAAGAAATCTGTTCCTGAATAGTTCATGCTTCAAATCGAGGAGGTATGTAGATATTTGGTCATTTAGTTTTGAGAGGTATTGAGTCTTTTTGTTGGTCTACCCTTAACTTTGAAAAAACATACACATTTCACCCCATCTATTTGCTCCATTCCGATGTTTTCCCCTCTGAATTCTAACATAACTGATCACTCATAGTCCCTTAAGGCGCATAAAGATGCTCTAGTGACTTCATTGCTAGTCTGTTTTTGTAAACTAATGCAGGTATACATGTACACTGTAAACTAGCTGTGCATATGTAAAGCAATAAGGCCAAATTACTCTGACTTGCACTGTTCCTTTTCTCATGATTTCTGATCTTGCTGTGACTAGGGGAATAAGTCA